CCTGTACGATGTCATCGGACTGATGAACAAGATAGCGTGTTTGTCACAACGAAATGGACAACGATACATCAACTGAGACGACCGAGGACAAGGCTTGTGGACAAGAAACTCGGGCTACCTCGCGATCTAAGTTGGAACTCCAGTCTAGTATTCAAGGTAACCTTTTGGCTCGAAGAAAATAGTTTTGCCAGTGTGCATTTCACGCGATCCCCCTACCTGTTTTGGTAATTGCGTGAGATTCACGCAATTATCAAACGACATGCTAGTATGCTACTAGCATAATGCAAGTATGCCCCACCATATGCTAGTAGGCTAGGGTCTCCCGGGCAGCTCGGTTCTATATCCGATATGGAGGATATAAGACCTTCGTGGGACTGTCCGTAATGCAAGTAAGGGTTGTTTACTCATTGTGCGGAGCCAGACGCCGGATGTGGCCCGCGAAATGTTTATGCGTGATAAGCACAAGCACCAAGGAGCATTGCCATTGGTTATTAGCTCCCGTAATTGCCTTCGGTCACGTCGCGAGTAGCTTGTCGATCCTTAAGTTCTGTATATAGAGATTTTGCGGTGAAACTTGTGTTGAAACGTTCTCCACATATGCGGCGATGAGCGGGGTGCGAATGGAATAGCGCATTTCTCGGGTAATTTACACTGTGACGGTGTAGGATGATGTAATGTAAAAATATCCGAATTCCATGAGAAGCCTCTCCTTCAGCCTCCCCTTGGAGCGCTCGACGATTCCTGACATCACCATTGGTAGTGACGTTCACTTACTGACCAGTGAAGTGAGGACAGATCTCTCAGTTCGTGCGGACCGCACAGTCTAGCATGATTCGAGCTATGTGCCGATGTCGGGCTGCCATTGTCAGTACTTCGTAAACGTTCAAGGCATTCCGCGCTTATCAATACTCTCAAGCTCATATGAAGTTACTCTTCATTTTGGCTATTCTGCTCATCTTGGGTGGTGTTAACGGTGATGTTCACGTGGATGATACTGAGAAGATCATCTCCGGCATGATGATGGACAAGCAGGGCGATATTGGCAGTCATGTGTCCGAATTTGACCCCAAACAAAGCTCGCCCAACATCCGTGATGATACTTCCTGTGATATCTGCCGCTTCTGCGATGGAGTTTTGTTTATTCCGCCTGTCTGTTGGCCTGTAAGCATGGAGTGTGGCTGGGACTGCGAAGACTGTTGCTGATTGCGACATTTGTCGGGATGGTTACATTTGATGTTTTTGGCTGTCCAATAAACCAAGTGTACTCCCGCCTACATGTCCCGGTAAAGTTCGACTAATGTTCATTCCCACAGCTACAATGTTAGTCGCGTCGGTCCAAGAATGTCATCTGATGCACAAGCCAGTGTCCTAACCAGCCTCAGGTCCTGAGGCTCAGGATGCCATCTCTGGTCATTGCTATCTATGAGATTGTGTTGCACAGTGTTGCTGAACATGCATCTGCTTACATGATGACTCACATTATTTATGTCGTTCAGTCTTTCTTGTATCAACCTTCTTGACCCAGCTGATGTGTGCTGTATGCGC